GGAGAAGCAGGATCCCCACTAAGCAGGGAGTCCAATGCAGGGCTCAATCCCAGAACCCTGGGATCATGACCTGAGCCAAAGGCAGACATTTAACTGACAGAGCCACCCAGGCATTCCACAAAGTTTTTTTTAATCCAAAAATTCCTGGGACACTTGCAAAGCTATAGGTATTCAGAATTGGCTTTCATTCTGGTGAGTCCTTCAAAGGAGAGTGGTAATTTTAACTTTTATCTTAACTACTTCTTACTTAACTACCCATTTTATCTCTGAAAGTAAGTATTTTTCAAGAGAAAAAAAGTCTTATTTGAGTACCTGTTACGGGCAGATAGAGATGAATAAACCACCATCCCTGCCCTATTGGACTCACAGTCTGATACAAGGAAAAGACAAATACAAAACGACTAGAGCAGGGGCACCTGGGTGGCTCAGTGGATTAAAGCCTCTGCTTTCGGTTCAGGTCATGATCCCAGGGTCCTGGGATCGAACCCCACATCGGGCTCTCTGCTCCGCGGGGAGCCTGCTTTTTCCTCTCTCTCTGCCTGCCTCTCTGCCTACTTGTGATCTCCGCCTGTCAAATAAATAAATAAAATCTTTAAAAAAAAACAACAAAAAAACGACTAGAGCAACCCTTGCACAAAGAAACATTACAAAAAGAGAGGGAGCACATCCAGCCTCAGAGGTGAGGGAACCATTGCTGCAACAGGTGTTCAAGAAAAGCCCAAGGGACCAGGGACATTAGGCCAAGCGAATGCTGCCAGGACTATCCTTTGGTTGAGGCAGCGTTCCCATGTAGAAAAGCAAGGAGGGTCTCGAATGTCCACACGAGGATGCAAAAGTGTTGGAGCGAGTGAGAGGAGCTGGCACAGGGAAAGCCTAGAAAGTCAGATTCAGTTAAGAGGCTGTTACGGTTACCCAAGTGAGTGGTATTGAGGCTCATCAGGACCTGAAGGGGAAGGGAAGGAGAGACAGGGTAGGAAACCATCACAGGAGGAGTCAGCAAGCCCTGGCAGGTGAGGAGGTCAGGAACAAGGACGAGAGGGGGTTAAGGGATACTTAGGTTTCTACCCAGATGGCTGGAGAAGTACGGACTCCCCTCTTCCCCAAGTCTCAAGGAAGAGCTGTTGAAAGAGGAGAGAGCCCAAGCACCAGCACAAAAACCCTGCAGCGATGTCCAGCAGGGAGCGTGAGAAGAGGCTGGAGATAGGACATTCTTTGATAGGAGGAAAGGGTCTCCTGAGACGAGAGTGGCAATCTTTAGCAGAGTCTTGGTGAGCGCTGGCTCCAGAGCTAGTCAGCCTAGGTTAGAATCCCAGCTGTGCCTGTTGGCAGCTGCAGGAGCTCGGAGCCAACAAGCAGCTAACCCCTCTGAGCCTCCATTTCTCCATCTGTGAAATGGAGTCAAAGGGAGAACAAGGAAATGAAACATGAAGTTGGAATATATCTTAGCATACAGCCTGATAAGTGTTAACTTCTCCTCCTCCTTCTCCAAATGTGCTGTTATACACACAGAAGTGACAGGTAAAACCTGAGCGAAAGCAGTTCATTCACTAACTCACTCGATAAACACCTATTAGGCGCCCGCCCTGTGCCAGACCAAGGGTCAGAGACTCGGAAGAAATACACAGAAAAGGGCAGCAATTCTGAGAACACCAGCGCTCAAGGGGCAAGCCGAGGAGGCTGCTCCCAAGAGAACAGGCAGGAAGAGAGGCAGGAGGGAAGTCAGGCACATAAGGGGTCCCCAAAATGGGGGTAGGGAGAGAAGCTTAACCAGGAGAGGTTGTTCCTCAGTCTCACATTCTTCAGGAGGAAATGGAGGCCTGAGAAACCCTCAACCCAGATACTAGTTTCCTGCCCTTTTGATTTCCTGGCCACAGGCTGAGGGGGCCGAGAAGAGAGGATAGCAAGTCTGTAGGATTTCCTGTCTGACTCGTGGCTTGAACAAGGGCAGGGGCTTGGTCTGAAGCTCCCTCGCCAACCCCAAATAAGCAAACTAACACTAGGAGGCATGAGAGCCCAGCATACTCCTCCTGCTCCCTTTCTCTCCTCTGCACACTAGAACGGAAGGAAGAGAGATGGCCAAGAGGCTCAGAGTCTCAGAAAAGGGAAGGCAGCTTCCTGGAGCACAAACACTATCCAGGATAGAACTTTAGAAGAAACCAAGAAAGCCTCATGGTCACCAGACGACATAAGTCTTCACTTTGTGTGAAAACATCTGGGCTGTTAAGGTGCCTGAAAACATCCTTAAAGAAGACAAAAGGAGAAAGGTCCAAGTAGACAGGCCTGGTCCCAAAGTAATGTGTTAACGGACAGCACTGCTCTAGGCCTACAGTCTCGCCTAGATAGAAAGGGTCTCCCAGCAGACAGGTGGGGCAGGCAGCTGAACTGAGCCCCTCCAACCTTGCCATCAACACCTGTGGAGATAAGGCCTCGACCTCCCAGAGGCCTCCGCATGCCAGCCCAGTAATTGGCAGAAGTGCTTTGACCATGGCTATACCTCGGGGCCACTGACCTCTCTGAGCGCTCATGCCCAGCACCAGGACCTTTGGTGTTATGTTCCTCTGATCCCTCCTAAAGAAGAATCCCACAACATTCCAATACATGCGTGGTATTTTCCAGAAGTCCACAATACTATCTCATTGTGAGTCTCACAAGAACAGTGCAAAGTAGGAATTATTTCTACCTATATTTCAGAGGCAAACAAATAGATTCGGAGGCCCTAAGTGATTTGCCAGGGTGAATCCACGCATGAATAATGAAATCAAGACTCAGGGTCATGTCCTTCTGTCATCCACACAAACACACACTTAGATGTATTCATTTGTTGAGTGTATCCCGGGTGTCTACTGCGTTATCTAGAGCCCAATCGCATGTTTGGCCTTTTTAGCAATTCTTATCTCTCACCTATTCAACCATGACTCCGTTCCTAGAAGACACCTCTTTTTCTCACATCTTGAGCACCTGGCACAGGGTCTGAAATTGAGAAAAAGCTAGTAGTTGACCAGCTCAACCCTGGACTCCTCAGGCTCTGCATGCCCTTACCTCTTCAGGCTGCACGGGTTTGTGTGGGAGTTAAAATACACACAGATCTGCTTTTAGCTTGGAGCCCTACAACCCAACAGAAGACGAAATATCCTTTCCTTAAAAGCTACAAATCAAGCCATACAGAGCTCCGAGGGTGCCCCACCCCAGTACCATCGTCATCATCCCTTTGTGGCTCAGTCCACCTCATTCCCAAAAATGGCTGTCCGAGTGCTGACCAGGTCTCATCCTTTCCTCTTCTCCCACAGCTTTGTCACCCGGAAGCACCGCCAAGTGTGTGCCAACCCACAGAAGAAATGGGTGCGGGACCACATCAACTCTTTGGAGATGAGTTAGGATGGAGGGCATCTCAACCTGAACTCATGCAAACTTCCCTAGTGCTTCTTGTTCTTGTCCTAACCAGCTTGGGAAACTCCCCCCAAACCCCTACTCCCACTTCCCCCTGGGAGGGCACAGATCCCCTCACCCAGCAGCAGCTATAAAAGCCTCCTCCACCTAAAGCTCCCAAGGGCTCCTGAGGCTCTGCCTTGTGTACCCGAAGCCCCTCAACTAGTTGGTCCTAGCTCTGCAATCAGAAAGGAAGTCAGCCTACCTCGGGAGGCGAAGAAAGGAGGAAAACTGGGCTCCTTCGGTAAAGTCCTGTGGCCACAGCTCCTCTCTCAGCCCCTCGCTGGGAAGCACTGACTGGCACAATGTGAGAAATCAGCTTCCCATTAAAATTCTCCATGCAGTTACCAAGCTGGCTCCTGGTTTGTTTGCCTCCTCAGGAACCCTCCTTCCTCACAAGCATTAAGTAATTAGCTACATATCGAATTTAACTGTCCTGTCTTTTAAGCGTTCTTTAGCAGATGCTGTGTGTGTGTGTGTGTGTGTGTGTGTGTGTGTGTGTCTTCAAGTATTTTATTAGGAGTTCAGATCAATCTTTATAGAATGTTCCCTAGTTTGGATCTGGCTGGTTGTTTTCCTCATAATTCGACTCAGGTTAAACATTTCTGGCGGGGACACCACAGGGTGACACTGTGTTTCTCAGGGCAGCACATCAGGGTATGTGTTGGTTTACTGATGATGTTGAGTCTGATGGCCTGACGGCCCACCAGGTTTTCTTGCCACAGCGAGCTCACTGCTGTGTGCCAGGCACTAGGCCAGGCATAGGAGGTTGGAGGGGAGAATGAGAGATGAGCCACAAGCCACAATCTTTAACTTCAGGCAGATTAAACTTATGATTAATACCGAAAGGAAGCAACTGTTCAAAAGACTGTGGTCACGTTGGGAGTAGGAGTTGGCGGGGGGCGGGGGGCGGGGGCGGGTGGTGACACCACTGAAGGGGGTGAGTCAGGGTGCCTGGGGGAGAAAAGAGACATCAGAGATGAGATAACTTTTAAATGAAGTTTGAAAGATTGGAGAGAGTTTAGCAGGTAGGAAAGGCCTGCAGGTAGAGGGCACAGCATATGCAAAAGTAGGAGAGATGGAAGGCAGCTCCTCACCACATAGAGAAGAGCTCAGTCTCTTGCTCCTAAAGAGGGAGATATGTGTATAAACGGGACTTCCCCACTCCTGCCATTTTCCTGATGACTAATCCTAAGAACCACCTGTGCCCTTCCCATGGGCTGATGTGCCTTGCCTCACCACAGTCCCTCTGGCTCCCAGACAGGCATGACTTTCCCACTTTTCAGATGAGGAAACTGAAGCTCTCAGAGGTCAAGTGACTAGCTCAAGGCCACAGGCTGGAGACTCCGGGGGTGGGACCTGGCGGGGGTGGGGCTCAAGAATGGAACCGGAGTCTTCTATTTACCTAGGAGATCTGGTTGCTCAACACTTGGACGCTTCTACCCACAGATGCCCCAGCCCCTCACCAGTCCCTCTTGTCCCACAGAGGACAGGTCTCCCCCCGCTGTGCCCCCACACTCCCAACAGCCTTGTATTGCCTGGGTTCCCTGTGGTCCCACCAGGAGAAGAGGAGTATGGCCTACGAAAAATCAGCTGATATCTTTGCTATCTCCAGGTCGATGTTCAAGTACCCATGGCTGGAATACCCAGAAAGGACCAAAGGTGAGGCTGGAATAGACAGGAACAGAGTCAGGGGTGCGGCCTGAAAAGAAAAGCTCTCTGTCTCCCTCTCCCAAGATAGGGGTCTGGTGAGTTCAGCAAATCCACAGGAAGGGTGAGGGCAGGCCACTGGACACTTGGTGGCTCCCCATGGCCTTCAAGGTAAGCTCCAGGACCCTCAAAGATGGGACATCTGTCTTCCCAGCTTCTGTTCCCACATGTGCACCCTGTTCTCTACCCAACTCCCCACCTCCCAGTCTTTGAAAGAAGTTTTCCCTGTGCCTAAGGCTCTTCCCCCTTATCTATCGGGCTAATCCCCAGGTGGATTAAACTGAGCCTCTGGGGAACCTTCCCTGATCCTCCCAGGCAGGTTAGGGGCCTCATCTGTACCACCTGTGCCTCTAACCTCACATTTGTCTCCCTTTGTCAATCACTAGTAAACAATTCTGTCTCACCAGCTAGATCCATGGTTCTCAAAGTGGGGTCCCAGGACAAGCAGTATCAGTATCTTCCAAATCCCCAGCCCCCACCATAGAGCTACTGACTCTACTCAGAATGAGTGCCAGAAATTGGTTTTAAGAAGCTCTCCAGGTGATTCTACAGCACACTCAAGTCTGAGAACCACTGAACAAGACCACTGGTTTTCACCATCAGCTGCACATTAGAATCATCTGGGGAGCTTTCTGAAAGGCCTAGGCCCTATCCCCAGAACATCAGATTCAATTAGTCTGATGTAGGGCCAAGGCAGGTTAAAAGTTCCCCCAAATAATTCTAACATGCACCATTCACTAAATGCTGAATAAATGAATGCCTGAATGGATGATTCTTAGCCCACCATTTGTACCACAGAACTCAGAAAAGTCATGGCTCCTGTTCACCTGCCCTTGTCCTGCTACCAGGTAAGACCTCTAACTTTTGCCCCCCAGGGGAGCTTTGTTGAAGTGGGAGGAGCAGCAAACTGCCCCTTTCCTTTAAGGCCAGGTCACAGAACACTTACGCTCATCGCTGGGGCTGCTGCTAATTCCTGTGTGACCTTGGACGAGTCACTTCCCCTCCCTGAGCCGCAGGATCTTCCTCGGTCACAGGTTCCATTTGTGGAGTTGCTATGAGATACTATCTGTAAGGCTCAGGCTATGCAGGCAGTGCTTAAAAAGGAGTCATTTTTATTCATTGACGCAGGGATCCTCATAGATTTGCCAGACAGAATACTGGGTCCCCAACTAAATTTGAAATTTCAGATAAATAATGTTTTTGTATAAATATGTCCCAAATATCGTATCCAATACCTAAAATCTAAATTTACCTGGACATCCTGTTTGTTTTTTTTTTAATTTGCTTCGTTTTCACTAAATCTGACAACCCTTCTCATTCTGAGTCTGCACTCCACTTTCTGAAGTCATGGCAATCACCTGACAACCTTGACTATGAGCTTCTCAATCACCACACTGGAAACCACTGGCTGAAGCCCCTCTTGCTTGTTGCTCAGAGAACTGACTCTGACAAAGGCTGGAGAAGAGATAGGAGTAAATTCTAGCCATATCTGCAGAGAGAAAGTCCCCTGAGCCACCCACCGCCCTCCACTACAATCAGAGCTGCAGTTTCATGACCGTTTAAGAGAGGTTGTTTAAGGAAATTCTGCTTTTCCAAGTAAACTATTAAGTTCCACGAAGGCAGGGATGATGACTGCCTCCCCAGCACCTAGCACAGGGGTTGGCACTCAGTAGGTACTCCCTAAGTATCTGCTGCACGCCTGAATGAAGGGGCAGTAGCCTGTCTTTTCCCCTCTTCATTCCACATCTCCCTCACCCTTTGCCTTTTCATCTCCTTGCCCAGATGGCCTTTTCAAAGTGCTTTGAGCTCCTCAAATAGCCAAAGGGTGTGCTCAGATTGGTTTACAGATCAACAAGGGCTCCACAACCTTTTACTCATTTGTTCTATGCAACAAGGGGTACAGAAAGAACAAGGATTATTAGCTCCATTCTGCAGATGAGAAGACTGAGATTTTGGTGGGTGAAGTCACTTGCCCAAGTCACACAATGGATAGGAGGTCTCTGACTCTAGCTGAGATGAGAGACTAAAGGGCGTCCCTCTCACCTAGTCCCGTTTTATCCTGGTCCTTTTCCTGGCTGAGGAATATCCTCTGCCCCTGCTCTGCCATTCCCACCCCCTCAGATGCCAAAGGAAGAGTTTCCCCCCAGTCCAGAGTGCTGGAGGCAGCACCCAAGCAAACCACATTCAGTGCCTTATTGCTACTTCAAGAAGCCTGAGATCTACACACACTGGCACACTCTGTATGATCAGCGACAGGAACGGGAAGCCCAGAAAATGTTGCGGAAAATGAGAGATCACCCTAGGTGTGCTTTGCCCCTCCCTATTCCCCAGACCCTTCATACCTTCTAGGAAAGAGAGGAAGGAGAAGGAAGGAGTGGGATAAGGGGCGGGACAAATCAGCTTACAGATCCCAGAGAGGAGCCTGGGGTAGGAGGAGGAGCATCTGTCTTCCTCCCATCTCTGAGCTGGGCTGAGGACCAAGGGCAGAGGAAAGTCTGTGAAGTGCGAAGGAGGAAACAAGGGGACCAAGGCTGGCCTATGCAATTTCTCACACAGGCAACTCAAAGAGGGCACGCCCATCCAAAAATTCCATCTCCCTATGAGCAAGCTGACTGTAAAATCTCAGGCAGGATCCAAGCCCTCGGACCCTACTGGGAACTCCCTGAAGTGGCAAAGATTAAAGGTCAGGGACCACGGTGGGAGGGAGAATGGGGAGACTTCCTTTCTGTGGGTGCCCTTACCTTGGGCTCACATTATCCTTCAGCCCTCAGTCCCTGCCTACAAAATGGAGGGAGGAAACGAAAAGGGATTGGATGAGCTCCTCTCCGTTTGAAGTTCTGCAACTACATTAATCCCTTTCTTCCTCTCTCCTGGCTCCCTTGGGTGGGCAGGAACTCACAAAAAGCCTGGAATCTCCCAGAGAGCAGGAGCAGTTCTATGCAGCACAGGTGAGAAGTGGCAAGGGTGGTGGAACATGGCCACAGGTAGGAGTTGGTTGAGCTGGGAAGTAGAAAGATGCTTAGGGAGGGCAGGTGGGGAGACAGTATTCTAAGACAAAACTCCAGCTGTGTCCAGAGGATGTAACTGATGGGGGTGGTGTCTGAGCTCTCTTCCCTTTCTTCCACCCCTGTTCTTGCAGGCTCTGGGACGCCTTGGCGTCAGTGACAAGCTTGTCATGGAGGCACTATGGCAGGTGGTGAGTCTGGGGCTGCATGGAGCACGTGAGAGGAGGAAACAGGGTCTGAGGTATGCTGAGCCTGGGCACAGGGGCACAGACAAGGCTCACCAGGGTGCAAGGATGCTGGGTCAGCTGCAGTGAGGAGAGAGCTGCCGGTGGACAGCGTGCCCCATCTCATGCCCTTGGCTTCCTTGAAGGGCAGCTTGGTGGGGCTAGGGGAATCTGCAGGTCCCCTCTGTCTAACAGAAAAGACCCTCAATTAAAAAGCAGAAAAGAACTGGGACTGAGTTCATTCTCTACCTTAACCGAATCAATGCCCTGTGCTTATAGGCCAATTTATAATGGGGAACATGCGTTTTTATCCATATTCTCATTTAAATATTACAGATTAGGAAAAGGCAGAGGTATCTGCATTTTTTCTAATAATAAAATGGAAACTCTGAAAGTGAGCCAAGTGACTTGCCCAAGGTCACATGGCTACTAGAGACAAGATAGGGATCTGAACAGAAGTCTTACTCCCGAGTTGTTTTCCTTCCATTGCATCATCCTGCCTGTTGTCCTGTGTTTGAGCATAGACAGGTCACTCTCTAGACCTCGGTTTCCTCACTGGTAAATGAAAAGTTAAGCTGAGATGATTCTTAATGCTCTGACATTCCATCACCATACGGCATATCTCCACTACCTGCCTCTTAAATCAGGCCCATACTGGTCCAGAGAAAGTGAAGTATGAGGCCTGTCGAAGCCTGGCCATGCTGGGTGAGTATGTCCCCTCTCTGGGAGGGGAGTGGGGGAAAGTGAAAAAGGAAGCAGTGTAGCCCCTTTCCCCTTTGGGTAAGGATACCCACTTCTACCTAGCATTTGGCAGGATCTGGGAACTCGCCTCAGTACTGTGGGCAGAGAGAGGAAAGTGGGGTGAAAGGGAGAAGAGATTAGGAGGGAGGGGTTGGGCCCTGGAACTGCAGCCACGCTCAGCCAGCTTCACTAGTGTCCTGGGAGAACAGGCAACACCTCAGGATCCAGTACACAGAACTTCTGTCTTTAGGGCACAGTGGAGTCAAATGGATCCTGGCAGAGAGGAATATCCCTGAGGCTCTGCCCTGACCTGAGGACCCTCCCTTGTCCAGGTTGCCTGCAGAAGCACGTGATCCAGGTTCTCATCACACAGCTGAAGGGAAAAAATGAGGGGCGAATGATGGATTCTCTGACAGGGCTACGAGCGGCTCTGAACTCCTGGGCTGCTGTCCCCAAAGACAAGGTGATTGGGAGGAGAGTCAGTAACTAGGGCAGGTAGGACAAGGTAATTGATGGTGCTGGCTGCATTAGGTCAGGGAGAAGGTAACCTAGCTCCTAGCCTTGATGGGAGAAGACACGGTCCTTGTGGAGTTCCCTGTGGAACAGCTTCCCTGAATAGAAGCACTGGCATGGCCACGGAGGAGTCACACAACCCCTGAGAAGCCGGCTTTCGGAGCCGCAGTTCATTCATTTCCAAAATGGAGAGAGTCACACTCATCATGATGAGCAGTGAGTAATATACAGAACTGCTAAATCACTAAATTGAAACTGAACACTGTATATTAACTGTATATTAACTATACTATACGAATACAACACTACGTTAACTATATTTCAACTCAAGAACATTTAACAAATGAAATGGATAGTAATTATAGCATTGTTGAGGAGATTAAATGAGATAATGTACATAAAGCACCTCGTTCAATGCCTGTGCTTTTTAAATGGTAACCATTATCATCCTTAAAATAACCTACTAAAGAAAAAACCTCTCTCAAGAGGGGAAAGAGAGGGGTGCCTGGGTGGCTCAGTGGGTTAAAGCCTCTGCCTTCCACTCAGGTCATGATCCCAGGGTCCTGGGATCGAGCCCCGCATCGGACTCTCTGCTCAGCGGGGAGCCTGCTTCCTCCTCTCTCTCTGCCTGCCTCTCTGCCTACTTGCGATCTCTGTCAAATAAATAAATAAAATCTTAAAAAAAAAAAAAAAGAGGGGAAAGGGATCAAGAGAGTCTGCGACACTACTCAGATTTTTTCCCCTTTAGGGTCCCCTTACTTGGACCCCATCACTGCTCCATGTGAAATAGAAGTCCTCATTCATCCATTTACTCAACAAATATGTATTAAACAGCTGTCACATGCCAGGCACTGTCCCAGGCCCTTAAGATACACCAGGGAACCCAACAGACTAAGATCCCCTGCTCTTGTGGAGTTTACTTTCCTGTTGGGGAGACATATAATAACCAGAAAACTTAATTATATGGTATGTTAGAGGTGACAGGTACAGTGGAAAAATTAGGTAGCAGGGTGAGGATGATCAAGAATGCCAAATGGGGATGGGACTAGGCTGCAGTTTTAAACACAGAAGGGAGGGAAGGCTTGAGCAAAGACATGAAAAAGCTGAAGGTGTTAGCCTTGCAGATATCTGAGAGAAGGGATTCCCGGCAGAAGGGCCAATCAGTGTAAAGGCTCTAAGGCAGGAGCATGCAGGCCAGTGTGGCTGCAGTGGAGTGGAAATAGAGAAAGTAGTAGAAAATGAAGGAAGGTCAAAGTAGTTAACAGGAGACTCAATCTGGATTGACTAAGATCTACTAGACTAAATCATTACTATATCATTGCTTTCTGGACGACTTCAAGTACCTGGACTTGAAGTACTGCATGAAGTAAGGAGCAAAGCAGTGACATAATCTAACTTATATTTCAAAAGGTTTCCTTTGCTGAGAAAAGATGGGAGGTGGGGGTAAGGGCATCAGGTAGAAGCAGAAAGATCAATTAGGGGCTACTGAAGCAATCCTGGGGAGATATAATGGTGGCATGGACCTCGGTGGTTGCAGTGGGATTAGTAAAACTCTTGACAGGTTGAAGCCACTACAAAAGACAATGAGGAAAGAAGGATGAAGCCAACTAAGATGTTCTTGAAAGCAGAACAGGTTTGGAGGTAATAGCAGAAGTCCAGGCTTGGACAAGTTATGTTTGAGACATCTACTGGACCTCCAAGGGAGACAGCAGGTAGAGTTGTATGTACAATTTCGAGTTTATAAGTCTGAACCAGAGAAAGGAATTTATGAGTTGTTGGCATATACACAGCATTTTAAAATCATTCAATTAGATGAGATCACTAAGGACCAAGTATGAAGTCTTGGGGCATCGAATATTAAGAGCTCAAGGAGACGGTTGTTAGAAGCAGACTGGTATGTGTCAGGGATACAATGAAGAGGGTGTGAGCAGAAAGAAGAGAAAGGCAGACATATTCTTTCTTCAGAGCTGTGTCCCAGTGGCACAGCTGCATGAATCAAGATTGTATCCCTTCACTACAGTTGCCCTAAAGATACAGCTAGAATTGATACTGGTAAGCCCTTGTCTGAAACAGAGAGAAGGGATATACCCAGTTAAGAAATTGAAAAGAATAAAACTGAGACTTAAGAAATAATTTATACTGGGGGGCCTGGGTAGCTCAGTGGGTTAAAGCCTCTGCCTTCAGCTTGGGTTATGGTCTTGGGGTCCTGGGATCGAGCCCCGCATCGGGCTCTCTGTTCAGCAGGGAGCCTGCTTCCCCCTCTCTCTCTGCCTGCCTCTCTGCCTACTTGTGATCTCTGTCAAATGGATAAATAAAATCTTTTAAAAAAAATTAAAAAATAATGACAGCTGACCATTAGGTAGGAAGACAACCCAAGAGTATGGAATTCTGAAAATCAAGTGAAGAACATATGTCAAGGAAAGGAATCGAATCAACTACATCAAATAATATAAGGACTAAGAACTGATGCATAGATTAACAGTGCAGGAATCCTTGATTATCTTAACAATTTTGGTGGGGTCATGGGGTTGTAGGTCTGACAGAAGGAGTTTAAGAGTGAACAGGAGGAAAGAAATTAGAGATGGCAAGGATGGACAACTTTTCAAGTTTTGCTGGCAAGGGCTGTAGCTGGCACCAGGGGTGGATTTTAGGGGAAAAAAAAGAAAAATAATGGCATGTTTCTATGGTCCAGTAGTTAAAAAAATGATAACTTTGAAGAAAGAGTTGTGATTAGGTGAGAAGAGATAAGCTCTAACATACAAATGGAAAGACTGACTTTAGACAGACAGAGTCTGTAGTCATAAGTGGAGGGAAGAACTCTATGGGTGCAGGTGTTGGACAGAAATGGTGGTTGGTGCCTCTGGAACTTCTCTTCCAGTTGCTTGTATTTGCTCAGTGAAGCAGGAAGCAAGATCATCAGCTGAGAGTTAAGAATGGAGGAGGAATTAAGTGTTGGAGGTTCCAGAGGACAGGGTGTTGAATCAGGAGGGTGGGAAAAAGAATTGCCCAGGGAAAAACAGTATGGTTACTAGTAGCACTAAGAGTCTACATGCGCTTTCTGTTCACACACTTAAAGCAAGATCAGTTATCAGGACCGTGTGCTCTTCTCCAGGAAGTGCAGGCACAGAGTAAGTGGAGGGTTGACTACAATGAAGCAAGAGGAGGTAAAGGAGTGAGGCAAGCAGGCGATCACGGAGTTTAAGCTGGGTAGAGAAGGAAGAAAATGAGGAGCAATGAAAAGGTGCTCCGTGGACTGTTAATCCTTGCAGAGTCCAACAATTAATGGCGACGGCAGGTGAGTTGGAAAGATAGGAGGTGATGGTTAGAGAGTGGGGTCCATGAAATGGAGATTGAGGAGAAGTCACAGTCACGGATAATGATAAAAACCTGTGAAAACTAATGGCTGACATAGAATGGAGGACAAGAACAAGACTACTGGAGAACAGGAGTAGGATCAATGACGTGTATTTTTTTTAAGATTTTATTTATTTATTTGACAGACAGAGATCACAAGTAGGCAGAGAGGCAGGCAGAGAGAGGAGGAAGCAGGCTCCCCGCTGAGCAGAGAGCCCGATGTGGGGCTCGATCCCAGGACCCTGGGATCATGACCTGAGCTGAAGGCAGAGGCTTAACCCACTCAGCCACCCAGGCTCCCAGTGACGTGTATTTTTTTAAATGTCAGGAATTAAGGCAGCAGAAGTGTTGAGGAGAGCGACACTCATCCATCCACAAGATAAAGTCCTAGAGAAACGAGGGGATACGCCCTAGGAGCAAGTGGAGGGCAGCACAAATAAGGGGAAGTGGGTGAAATAATCTGAGGACATGAGGAGGAGGGACTGTGCTCTGAAAGCAGCAGTGAATGGCCCTCTTAACAAAGGCCGGCTGAAAACATAGTCCCCCTGCCCATTTCACTCCTTGTCTGCCTCAGAGAACTCAAGTCGGGGATGAAGAGAAGTTGGTACCTGTGTTGCAGATGCTGATAAATAAGTCATCGAACAAAGCAGCTGTGGAGGCAGCCCTGTGCTTGGGTTTCCTGAGGCCCTGCAGCAGCACAGCCCAGGAGTTCTTGCTGCACTGCCTGAGCCAAGGGTCTAAAATGCAGCAGATGAAGGTGTGAGGGGCAGGAGGCTGGGCTCCCTGGGGATCGCTGGGGAACCAGAGGCTGGTGCTGACTTTGGTACAGCCTGGACCTCGTCCTACTCAACCAGAGAAATGAAGCTTCAGTGGGGGGGCATTTGTGGGGCCCTCTGTGTGTCTGTGAATATGTATATGCACGAGTATGGGGTCACAAAGACGTAGGTGTACATGTGTCTGTATATATTTGATTTGTATGAGTATTCATTTATAAATGTGCACGTATGTGCATACATGAACTTATTTTCTCACTCAAAAGGCAAAGAGGGAGGAGAATGGACCCCATCTGTTCCCCATGAGTTTTAGGCTCAGCCCTCAAGCTTCCCTGGCTGTCCAGATACCTCTTGGCCCTGTTCACCCCAACCTACATTGCCTGCCCCCCACAGGCACTCAGGATGCTGGTCAAGATGATGCACGTACACACGGCCACAGTCACCAGAGCCATCCTAGACCAGCTGTGCTATTCTCCTGTCCTCGAGGTAAGCTCTCAGACTGCCGAGGACCCTTTCTTCTCCAGCACTAGCACGGGGTGAGGGATGAGGAAGAGAGTCTATCCTTCCACCTACCCTCAGCACCGCTTTGAAGCCACCCAGATGCTCCAGACCGTTGGGCTGGAAAAGATCCAGGCGCAAGGGCTGGAGGGATTCACATTTAACCTGCTCTGGAGGAAGACGTATAATGAACCTTTCCTTGTAAGTGAGACCAAAGTTCCCAAACCCAGACAGCCCAAACCCACCTCCTTTCCCTTCTCTGAAGACCTCTGCTGGCTTGGCTCCCACCACACTGCCCCACAAAGTATCATATTCATTCTAAGGCACTAATGCACTCCCTGTTCCCATTCCCCTAATGGGGCCCATGTTTTCAAGCCACCTTGCCTTTGCTCAGGCAGTTCTCTCAGTGAAAAGTGCCAAGTCATCCCTCCCTCCCTCTGAAGTGAAAAACTGCCTCGTGCTATTTATTCACTCCTCCTTCCTCCTCCTGCCTGTCACAGTAACATGGCTCCCACAAGGCTCCCGCAAGGCCAGTCCAAACGCCTCCTATGGGAACCTTTCCCAAACCACCTCCAACAGAATGAACCCTGCCTTCCTCTGTGCTCCTCTGCTTTCATCTTTATTGTACCTTGTTACAGAACCAGCCACAGAACTTCTAAAGACATTTTTCTGAAATGTACATCAGATTGTGTCTCACCTCTGCATGATACTTTTCAGTAATTCCCCAATGCCCTCAGGAAGGCTTACATTGCCCTTCAAGGCCTGCTTCCCTCTCTAGCTTCATCTCTCCCCACTCCTGCTCAGGGCCACGTACCAGTTAAGCTTAAAATGATCCTGTCCTCATTTATACCTGTTATCCCAGTGTAATACCTGAGTGCCCCACTTTGAAGAGTCTCAGTGTGGTCACCTAGCCAAACAAATATTTTCTGTTCCCTAACCTCTGTGTGCTCTCTCCTGCCTCTTAAGCTTTGGTACATGCCCTCCACTCTGCCCAAAAACCACTCTGCTCCCAGCCCTCTGCTGGTTAACTGCCTTTCACCCTCCAGGATTCAGCTGAGGCATCACTTCTTCCAGCAAATCTTGCTGGTACCCAGACTGAGATCTCTTATGTTCACTCTATAGTTAGTTCAGTTGTAAGACGACAATAGTGTGACTGCCTACTCACTGGTCTGCTTCCCCTACCGGATGAGTTCAAGGCAAGAACCACATGCAGCCCAAGGTCAAGGTTCGGTAAAGGTTTGTGAGCACTTGAAGGTACACTCCCGCATTCCTTTTCTCTGTTGTCCCACCTTAATCCTCCTTCAGGCTATGAGGCAGGCTGTGGCTGAAATTGTGGAAGAGCTCAAGATGAAGCCTACAATGATGAATTTGGTGGAGGCGTGAGTGGCTTGCGCTGGGAGCTGCCGGAGCCAAATCCTAGGCTCTGGAAGAGGGTCAGAGAGAGCTGAAAATCTAATCCTAATTCTTATTTCTCACTTGCCCATGCCCCTGGCCAACTCACTCGTTGACCCCTGGGATTTTCTTTGTCTGTAAAAAGGGGCTGATAATACCTACCACTCAGGGTTCCTATAAAATACGAGAATGTGAAAGGGATCTGTAAAAGGTAGAGTTCTGGACAGATGTGAGTTCTAATTGTCATTCAGTGCCTCCTGGCAAATTGCAGTTCCTGCCTTTCCCTTCCTAGCTCCCTTCCTGACCCAAGTAACAAGAAGGAGCAATTAATAAAATTAGCACCACACATTGGCCTTAGGCCTGACTCATTCTGGGCTTCGAGAAGGAACAACCAGCCCTCCTCCCCTCCCCTCTAATTGGAAAACACACTTATTCCCTTCTACACAGGCAACTGATGAACTCAAATGCCACTGCACGCCAGGAGGCAGTCATCTCTTTGGTAAGGCCAGCCCTGCTCCTCCAACCACATGTGTTGATGGCAGGGGAGCAGGCACGTGAGCACAATTACTCGGGGGCAGAAAGGGCTATAAAGTTTGGGGAGGTTTGCTTATTTTAGAAATCCAGCCCTACCAGGAATTCAGGAGTAACCTCTTTTTCAGGACAAGAGGTAGGTGGAATAAAGGACAGGAGATGGGTATGAGAGGCGTTGCTTAGTCTTGATTCTTCCTGGTGAACAGTATGCACTGGAACCCAATGCAGTGGCCGCAAAAGGGGAAGAATGGGGTACCTCGGCTGGGGAGCCGTAGTGCCCCTTCTCTCCAGGCCACAGGGTCATCAGAGGGGACTAGAATGGAAAAGAGCACTGATGGGGCATGTTCCTAGGCTGCCTAGTTACTCTCATTCGCCTCTGCCAGGGCGTCCTGGGGATCCGCAGCCCACAAGTGTACCACTTGCTCCTGGACATGCTAGACACAGAAAAGAGCCAGGCTGTGAAGAAAAGTGTAAGGCATTCCCGCCCACCTCTTCTGCTTCTCTACCCCTCCTCTAGAGGCCTCTCCCACCCATCCCCACCACTTGTTGTCTGTCAGGAGGGAGGAAAGGGGAATGAGCCTCACACTATCCCTTGACTTCATTCCTTGGGGACAGAGTGGCCTGTGGCCAGAGCACTCCCCCCTCCCTGAGGTGCCCCCTCCGCTCCCAAACTTGGCCTGAAGTGAGCCAGCCACAGGACCTTTGTTTCAATGCAGCTTCAAGAAACATTAACTCTCTTGGCCTCAATTGATCCCTGGATCCAAAACAAGCTGAAGAACAAGGTTCTCTGTGAATATGAGGCACTTAAGACTAGTGAGGAGGAAGGGCCTACGAGGTTTCGGAAAGAGCCTGAGAACCCAGAAGAGTTAACTATCCAAGACTTCCGACTTGCACAGCTGAACCCCTTGTTTATTGCGAAGTCCAGAGCCACACCAGACCAACAGAAAAAGTTGAGTGCCCAGAAAGGCTCTGCCTTCCCACCCTGTTTCTCTAAACCAAAACACAGGGCACCAGCCACAGGGCCCTGGGTACCAAGGATAAGGAAGCAGCTCCGGATCCTTGCTAAAACCTCCCAATAGGTCAGTTCTTCGGACCAAGTCCCCACTCTCTCCCCAAGGATGCTTCTCAGGCTCCCTTGAGAAAACAATCTATACCTATCTTGCATGAATAAATGAGTGTCACTCTACCTATTACTGCTGGTCCTTGTCAGGGGCTGCACAGAAACTCAGGTCTCCTCTCTCCTGGTTGAGTATTAATTCACTCAGCCACATGTCCTTTTCACAAAGGGAAAGAGACAGAGCTGCTCCAGTAGCCAACCTGCCTCCCTAAATCAAGCCCTTGTTTATGCCCAGAATTTAATAAGCCTCTGCCCAGAGTGGGCTATAGAAGGAAAAGTAGGAGAAAATCCTGGAAAGCTTGGCTCTTGGACCATTTCCTCCTAACTTGCCGCCCCTCTCCACCACTTCCCAGTGGTCAGGAGGTAACGAGGCTATACTCAAGACCAACCATCTCGGTCTCGTCACCACCTGCTTTCTGCCTCCCTCAGGACCATGCTGAGACAGGCCCTATTTACTCTCAAAAACTTCTTGTTTCTCCCATGTTTGTTCTAAAGTCCTGTTTCCCTTTGCCAGTAGGACCTGGTACACCAATCCCAACAATCTACATCCTCCATCAAAAAGAAAAAACCCAGACTTTGTGGAGTCAGGAAAATCTGATGTCTAAATCCCAGGACCTTGAGACCATGACCATCACTTTTTTGAACTTTGACTTTGGACAAGTTAATCTTTGTTTCCTCACCTATAATAAGATGAGAATAATGCATACTACTTCAGAGAGCTCCTCTGAGGAGTAAACAATAACAAATCCTAAGAGTGCCTAGTATCACATAGTAAGTACTCAAATGTGAGGTGCTTTTCTCTTTTCTTCAGTGTTGTCATGTGACCCTGTGACCACCAGAGGTTAAAAACGTCCTGCCAGCCCAATTAATTCCCCCAATCTGATTGAAGTGATCTACGGTGAGGTCAACTTCTTCTGATTAAGCAGAGAAAGGGCAAAGTAAAACGGATGCACCTTTCCATTTCCCCACACTCCAGGTTCTAGAGTGGTCCAGTTATCTGAATTCAACACAGATAACAAAGTGACAGTGACACAGAGTGTCACTCTGATGTTATCTCCCTACCTATCCCACCACTTTCAGATGCATGTTTTGCCTCAGAGAGTTCTAAATAAAAACCAGAGGAGTAGTTTCACTATCCTGGATTATATGCAAAACTAGTTGCCTCCACTAGTGTGGCACAAAGACCAAAAATGGCAAAAATGATCCTCCTCTCTTGCCCACTCTGTACCTTTGGGCCAATGAGCAATCTAACCGCAATTTCCCTGGGCCTTAACAGCCTATGGGTACAAACAAAGGCTTACTACCTAATTAAGGCTCTCAACTCCGGCAAAATCCTGCCCACAGACCTCCAACCTCTGCTGCTGCTCCTCCATATTTCTAGCTCTCTAGAGAATTGTCCTTTTTTAAAAGATTTTATTTATTTGATGGAGAGAGAGATCACAAGTAGGCAGAGAGGCAGGTGGGGGGTGGGGGAAGCAGGCTCCCCGCTGAGCAGAGAGCCCGATGCGGGGCTCGATCCCAGGACCCTGAGACCATGACCTGAGCTGAAGGCAGAGGCTTATTAACCCACTAAGCGACCCAGGCGCCCCTAGAGGATGGTCTTACTACTTGACCAGGTAGCAGTCTCTGCTCAACACCTCAATCCTGATCTCACCAATCCTCATCAGAAGATTTAAAACAGCACTGACATAAAGCTCTGCAGAGAGCACCCACCATCCAGTACACCAGCAATGGACTAGAGCATCCCCAGTACCAAAGCCACGGAGATGCAACACCCTGACAAACATGCTTCATTAATCCAAGCTGTGGCCAGTTTCTCTCTGAAGCCTGAAATGCCCACTTCTTTCAGCCAACAGGGTCTGTTGGTATTGCTCTTTGGACACCATCCAAAATACGTAAGATCCCCACCACCTTCTTGCTAATGAAACCTCTGAATGCACCCTCTGATGGCAGCAGAAACGATGACAACAAAAGCCATATACACCCTCCTCCTCTTCCAACATTCTCATCCATGTCCATGCTATAAGTGAAATCTGGCTCTCTCCCTTGAACCAAAGTCTTAGGTGTTGTTCATCCTCCTCCATTCCTTTCAATGTCACCATTGTCCTGCACCTTCACATAAAAATCACTGCTTCTGAGGGTCTTGGCTCTCCAGTTATCCCACCCTCTGGTCCACTTTTCTATTTTCTTTCATTCATCACCTGAACCTTAGTCTTGCTTTCACCATCATGGTAACAACCATCTACCACCCCATCTCCTCAGTTCTTGATCTCAACTACAAAGGTTTCTCCTTTCCATTCACTCAGCCACCCACTTCCATGGCCACATATAGCTCCTAACATCCCCGAGAATTACTTCATCCTGAACATCTACTTTAGGACCCAAAGCTATCTATCCAGCCTTTTTATCCCCAGTGCCAGTTCTTTGAATCTCATCAATAACACTAGGCTCTTGACATTGCTACATTCTTCATTAACTTTTTTTCCTAATCAGCCTGGACTTCATCCATCAACCACTATCCTCACTCTTCTCATTCTCTACTAAGTATGAGACTAATTTGAAATTTTTACTAGTATCTGACTAGCAAAATCCCTAACCCTGAATCGAACTGCCTCTGTTCCTAAAAACAGGTGGCTGATTAAAGATGGAGAAAAATCACATATCCACACCGACTGTACCCACAAAACACTTGCCCCCATGTTAATCGAGCTTTTATTGTTGTCTGGCAATTTTATGGGTTCCTAATCATAATACTTTCCTACTTCCTACAATCGTTGTTTCAAGCCTTCCCTGCTATCCTCACACTACAGTCTCTTCAAACTCTATCATATTCTGCAACTCTCAGCAGACCATCATACTTTACTATACTCAGGAGGGAAAAAGACATTGGATGGACCTAACCACCTCTGTTATAAAAATCCTTAGACATAGTAAAGAGCACAAGTCCAGATCCTTGGATTAGGATCCTGACTCTGCCACGCACTAGAGATGTGATCCTAGGCAAGTTGCTTAGCCTCTTGGTGCCTCTCTTCCTCACTGGACCCTCTGAAAAGCCCCTTCCAAGTGGCAGTCAAAATCATTTAAACCATTCACCTCTTCTCCAAAGTGTTTCCTATACCTCCTTGGTTCACAGCACTGTTGTGAGACTTAGTTAACACGCAGATTGCTTCTAACAGTGCCTGGCACATGGTAACCTCCCAAGAGGAATTAATCGTCTGCTACCATTATTATCACCATCTGCAACTATCCTTACCTCCTTTGTCATAACGCAAGAGGCATTCTCTTCTTCTAAGGCATATCCTTCGCTAATGTTCTGGCCACCATTCATTCAAGGGATGTGAATATTAATTATCCCCATCTCCTTGCAAGGAGTGTATAAACATGCTTAATACCCACCTTAAAAATAATCTCTCACAAACCCATATCCCTGCCTAGATTAGATGCCTCCTCTTAATTCATCCCACCTCTAACCATCCTTCATAATAAAGATTCTTAGTTGACCATATTACTGGTCTCCATTTCTCTTTTTATTATTCACCATCCCACTTCAGTTTGTGTTCACAATTCAACTCTCCATCAAAAAGGCTTTTGCAGGGCACCTGGGTGGCTCAGTGGGTTAAGCCTCTGCCTTTGGCTCAGGTCATGATCTCAGGGTCCTAGGATCGAGCCCTGCAACAGGCTCTCTGCTCAGCAGGGAGCCTGCTTCCTCCTCTCTCTCTCTCTGCCTGCTTGTGATCTGTCAAATGAATAAATAAAATCTTAAAAAAAAAAAAAAAAGTTTTTGCTAAGGCAGTGGTTCTAGAAAGGGGCAATTTTGCCCCCAAAAGGACACTTGGCAATGCTGGGAGACATTTTTAACTGTTACAACTGGGGGCTGCTACTGGTGTCTTCTGATAGAGGCCAGGGATGCTGCTAAACATCCTACAATGCACAGGGCAGCCCCCACAGCAAGAATTATCCAGTTGAAACGTCAGTAGTGCCAAGGTTGAGAATCCCCGTGGTGAGGTAATTTACAACCTCCGTATCACTAAATATGAATGCTTTCTAACCTTTGTATGACTTGGCCTGACTTGAGCACTCAAAACCACTAGCTTCTCCCTCCTTAAAATCCACTCTTCTCTTGGGTACTACCAACACCTCACCAGACATTCCCAGTCTCTACTCTCGTGATCCTCTTCTATTACCTCAAATATTAGCATTTCTCAGGGTCCAGGTCTAAGCTCTTCTCCCTATATACTGTCTACCAAACCTTTAAAATCAACTGAGAATTTATTTTTATTTATTTTTTTAATTCCCAGGCCTAACAGATTTCACTGTCTTAGAGTGGAACCCAGCATCCTTGTGTTTTCAAAAACCTTCTCACTAATTCCAGTATACAGCTTGGATGGTGAAGCAGTACTCTATAGACAGTCTTACTATTATTATATCCCCTCGGTACTTTACCATTTATAGATTAGTGGCTCTCATTAATCTCAAATCTGTATCTCTAACAGACTCATTTAGTCAATATTCGAGTACCTATTCTGAGCCGAACACTGTTCTAGGCAGTAGGGTAGAACAGTGAAAAACAGATAAGTTTCCCTACTTTCCTAGAGATTATATTCTAATGGAGAAAAGAGAAACTGGCAACCACAAAAAGGTCACCTCAAATAGTGATAGATACTGTGATGACATTTTAAGAGGAGACAGGAGAGTCACCAGAGAGAGGCAGTGTTTTAAATAGGAAGGCCAGAGACAGGAGGTGGAATCTGACCCAAAATTACAGTGAAAAGTAGTCGGCCATGTGAATATTTGAGGAAGGAGAATCCTAGACAAGCCTAAGCAAAGATACTGAAGCAGAAGCATATTTGGTACCATCAAGAATTATGACCAATGTGGTTAAAGCAAGGTAAGTATGGATAAATGTTACATAATAAGGTGGGAGAGGGAGACAGAGGCCAGATCATAAGGGCTTTGCAACCC